ACACACACACACACACACACACACACACACACACACACACACACACACACACACACACACACACACACACACGAGTCAGAATCTAAAATCCCGTTGTGGTCAGTGAAAGCAAAAAGAGCTCTCATGTCCTCCTGGATGATCTCAGTCAGCTGAACGTGCATTGATCCTCACTGTTCGTCCCTCCACCACCTCCCCTAACAACACCCCCTCGGGCAAGACCGATACTAAAGTCTGCTGGCATCTGTGTTATTAAATCCTCCAGTATTAATTTAGCGCTAATTGAGAGAGGGATTCACTCCCCGTTTACCCAGAGCAAAATCTGGATGGGGGAAGCCAGCATTAGCGGCTGCGTTGAGACTTAAATCAAAAGCGAAACGCTCTTCCCACAGGGGAGGCACCGAACGTCGGAGTGAAAGAGAACTATGAAAGCAGAGATCATCAACTATTGATAAAGACGATTCTGGTACAGCTGTAGACAAAATACAGAATCTGTTTTGACTTCACGTTGAATGTGCCTGCAAACGGCTGAGAACTGTCTGGTTGGGAAATAAGGTCTAACCGCACATGATACAGAGACTATTGCAGTTGTAGTTAATAATTAGTAGAAAGATCTGGCTGCAGTCATAACGTATGTAAACAAACTGTGAATAGTAAATGTCAGAGGCTATTAAAGAATGCTGATGCACCCTTGTTACTATTCATCTGTTATTTTTCCCGGTTTCGTCGTGATTTCTGTTTCGCTATTCCTCCGGCTGCTTTGTAGAAACCCAGACAAAAGTATTCACATCCCTTGAACCTTTCCACGTTTTGTCACAATACAAACAAAATGTACCAAACTGGGATTTTATGTGATAACCTAACACAAAGTATCCCATAATTAAGTGGAAGGAAAATGATAAATATTTTTAAAATTTAATATAAAAATATGACTTGTATTCAGACCCTTTTTTCTGATCCAGCTAACCAAGAACCAGTGCAACTAATTAGTAAATACAGCCCATCTGTGTGTAATTTAAGCTTCATATAAATACAGCTGTTATCCTCAGAGGTTTGTTACAGAACATTAATGATCAAATAGCATCATGAAGACCAAGGATCACACCAGACTGATCAGAGATTTTTAACATTTTGAAAATCTCATGGAGCTCTGTTAAATCCATCATCTGAAAATGGAAAGAGGATGGCCCAACTGCAACAAACAAGACATGTCGGTCCACCTGATCTGTCAGGGCAGGTAAGCCAAGCATTAACCCAGGAAGCAGCCCATAACTCGAGGAGCTCAGATGGGAAAAAGTGTTGACTATAAGTTGTGAATTCAACAAATCTGGCTCTAATGAAGAAGTGACGAGAAGAAAGCTGTTGTTTGAAGTCTGACACAAGCCACGTGGGAGCCTCAGCAAACATGTGGAAGAAGCTACTCAGCTCAGAGCAAACCAAAACAGAACATTTTGCCTAAATTCAAAAGTCTTTATATCAGAAAACCAACCCTGAACACCCCATCCTCACTGTAAAACATGGTTTTGGCAGCTTCATGGTGCGGGCTTGCTATTCTTCAGCAGGGACAGGAAAGCTGGTCAGAGCTGACGGGAAGATGGATGGAGCTAAATTCAGGGCCATCCGGGATAAAAACATGCTGAGGCAGAGTGTCACCTTACAACAGGACACCAATCCAAAACATACAATCAGAGCTCCAATGGAAAGGGTTAGATCAAAGCATTGTCATGTGTTTGAATGGCCCAAATAAAGTCCAGACTTTAATCCAATCTGACTGAGCTTGAGATTAGTTTTTTAAAGAAGAATGAACAAATGTTTCAGTCTCTAGAAGCGAAAAAGGTGGTTTTAGAAAGTATAGAATTAATACAAATGCACGACTTTTCAGACTTTAATTTGTTAGCAGCTTTAAAAACCATGAAACTTTTTCCTTTCACTTCATAATATCTGTGCTGGTCTATCAAGTTAACCCCAGAAAAATACTTTGAAGCTTATTATTGTAACATGACTAAAAGTGTAAAAATTCGATGTGTTTAAATACTTTTTCAAGGTACTGTACATCAAAATGTACAGGTCAACTGGGAACAGAACACTATGACTTCAGGTAAAGGTTCACTGTGTGGTGTAGAGGGATTCAATTAAAGAAAAAAAACTGTATTTTCTATGGGATTTTGTCTAAATAATCTTAAAAAAAAACTCATCTTTGGAGCTCTATGGCACAGTTAAACTTTACAGCTGAAACATTCAAGTTTAAACGAGTCACAAAAAAGTTTAACTTCATGTTTCTAAATTTGCAGTTTGATTGTTTCTACAGTTTTATTAATTTTGGTGATTTTACCATGTAGGTTCCACTTAGAACTGTCAAAACTTTCCAAACTGTGTGTGAATATTTTGTATTTACACAATCTTTACACTTATTAAGCTAGCTTACGCTGTACGTCAAAACGTAGACATCTTTATTTTGTTTTGTTTTCCCAGTCTCACTCACCAGGTATAAATACAAAAACTTATCAAAAAGAAATCAAGCGCTATCAGCCTATCTGTACACTGCTACTTTGACTTCATACCCATGTTAAAACAGTTTATTAGACACCAATTTTTAAGTATGGGGGACACATTTTACTTGGTYATTCACAGATGGTTTTGCACAAGGGTTTATTTACTATGAAATAACAAAAAGTCTGATTGTAGCTTCAGCTTTTTTTGGCTCACAGCTGCTGTTTTGATAACAGAAATGGAAAAGAAAAAGTTCTACTTTGCACAACAGCAACAAAAGAAATGATTCTTTTACCTGACTGCGATCTTTATCCACCTTCTTGAAACACTTGTTGAGTGACAGATTGTGCCGCACAGAGTTCTTCCAGCCTGTCGGGGCGCTGGCAAAGTAAGGGAAGTGCTCCAGAATCCAGCCGTAGATATCCTTCACGGGCAGCCGCTTGTTCGGGGCGTCCTCGATGGCCATGAAGATCAGGCAGCTGAAGGAGTACGGAGGCTTTCGGTTAGCCCCCGCCGACAAGTCGTACGCTGAATGCGTGTCACCCAGCAGCGGGTCGTCTGGGGAKGGAGAAGAAGAGGAGGGCGAGCGGGGGTGCTGACCGTCAGGGTCCTGCAGAGGGGAGACGCTACGTAGCCCGGAGTGGCTGAAGCTGTTGAGGAGGTCTGTGCTCTCGTGGAGCCAGGAGAGGCTGGTGAGCTCCTCGTCCTCGGCCTTGGAGAAGGAGGCRGACAAGGAGAGTGAGAGGTCGGCAGCCTCGGCCTCAGACGCCGCTGTGGCGGCGTCCCCCTGCCGGTACGGTGGGCTCATGCCCTGAGAGGCACTGGCTCCACTACTGGGGCTCTGAGCCTTCTTGCTGGGGGGCATGGTGGGTCCCATCCAGCCCAGGGCTCACTCCTAAAGAAGCAGACAGAAAAAAAAAAAAAACAAGGTTAGCTTGTGAAACACAGTTGGTCTGTCACACTAAACCTTCAGCTTTGTTACAGGTCAACAGGAGGATTTTTTATTTTATTTTTTTACAAGATTTGTAATCAGGCAACTTTACATCTGAGGTGGAAAATATACATCCTCATTTCCCACCCGGGCTTTCCATCCGATTCTAACTGGTACAGCAAATTTAGTGCTTCAATGGCTGAGGAAATCCTGCCTTGTACAACTACCCTCTAATTACCAGTGTAACGGCAAAGTATTGATATTACATGAGGTTGCTGTCATAACACATGAAAACTGTTAAAGGTCTAATGGTTACAGGGACACCGAAACTGTGCCGGTGATTTAACATCTCTGCAGTGGGGGGAAATTTAATTGTCAAGGGTGGTGTGATAATTGAGAGAAGAGGAGGAACACACACAAAAAAAGAAGAAGAAGGATAAAAACGAAGAGCTTAAATTCTTGGATTTACGACATCAGAAACAGAGACAGGCCTTAGCTCCACAGCGGGGTCTCTGTGGCCAGACATGATCATGATCTGGGTAATTTACCAAGAAAAGAAACAAATTAAAGTGTGAGTTCAAATCCATTCCTGCTCCAATCAGACTATTATCCTGTAAGAGCAACGTTGAGCTTGTTACACGCAGGCAGAGCGCGGTAATCGAAGGGGAACGGGACGCCGAGTGTTCAGAACCGAGCCTTTGATTGTCCTCTGGCACAGACAGCTGTGGGAAAAACCCTCACAGCTAAAACGTAATCTGCTCACACCGAGCCTGAGATAAACACACATACTCGCGCTTGGAGGATGCACACACGCACACGCACACGCACACACACACACATACACACACACACACACACACACACACACACACACACACACAACATTCGGACATGAGGATTAAGTCTTGATATGTTCTGGGCCGTCCCCGTGTGGTGCGATCGGTCCCCTAATCCAAGGTGATCATCGGCCGATCTGTCCCCTCACTCCACATAATTGACTGACAGCTGTCACCCACGGCAACCTGCTGCAGCGTGACGACTGTCAGATCGCTGGCTGCCATGTCACCATGGCGACAGAGGAAAACAACTCATCTCTGCTCTCATCTGCCTTTTATTTTTTTCCTTGTTGTTTGCCCTTCCTCTGCGTCTGCTCCACTTCTGCCTTTTTCATGGAGGACATTAAAGTGACTGTTTGCTACCGAACTGTCTCATGAACCACAGATAGAACTGAATAAAACAAAGAAATAAATCATTCCACATTACCTACAAATTATTCAAGATGGCCGCCACATCCTAAGCACTAAAAGGTTGTGTAAGATCTTTGTCTTTGATTAGTAATCAACTCTATCTGCTGGCAAAACAGCTCATAAACCACTGGGCAGATTTTAATAAAACATTCAGGAAATAATTAATGGACGTACGTATATCCACAATAGAGGTGGGAATCTTTTACTCTCTCACGATTCGATTCTGAGTTTTGGGGACACGATTCAAAGTTGATTTTTCATTCAAAACTGATAATTTGAGCCCATTTGTTGTGTTTCCAAAGTACTTCATCTTCATTTTACAAACCTTGCACAAAGTGAAGCTCATGTCAAACTCAGACTCATTCAATAAAAACCAAAATGAGCCCAAATCTTTGCATTCAGTAAAGACAGGGTCAGATGAATCCTTCTTTCTTCCTGTTCTGTAGTTTTTCTGCACATTCATGTTCCAGAAGCAGCTGCGTGATGACGTCAGGATGTCCCAGGTAGTTACAATATGGAGGCTGTGGTTGCTTTATTATTATTATTTTTTTTAATAAAAAAATCGATTTTGGTACATTTTAAATCGATTTTGAATCGTTGTAAATGAGAATCACGATTCCTCCAAAACAAATTTTGGTGCACCCCTAATCCACAACCCAAAACCTTTTACAGCCAATTCAGATCAAGATGACCACTTAAAACCAACTGACCTTAAATAACACAAAATTGGCAGCAAATTGTTTTTTTTAAAGATATTGAGCTAAAATTTGGAGCAGTAGCTGAGTCATTCACAAACATACTTCAAGTGTTACTCATCTTTCCTTAGCACTTCAGCATTACCTGCTGAAATCAACCCTGTTACCAAAAATATGGCCGTCACAGCTTGTCAACATTAGCACACATAAAAATGGTTATAACTCAGTAACATTTACAAAAACTGAATTTAAGTTTGATGTGATAGTGGCTAAGAGTCATTCATAGTACACGCTGAGCATAATATCTTGCAATTAGGGTTGGGTATAATCGTATCGTGTGCAATTAATCGTCAGAAAAACATTAATCGATTATTTGTTGGCACTTGACAATTAATACGATTAATGCCACCAGGCAGAGTTCGCTCGGTGCTCCTCTCCACTTCAGATATGACGAACATTAAAAAAAGAGTTCTGTAATTTATTTATCTATCAACAMAATTTAAAATTTGATGTATGGTCTGAAGTTTTTTTGACACAAAAAATTTTTTTTTGACAATTTGGAACGGATTTTTATGAAGAGCAAATGTCCTGATGCATCTCAGTAATCCAGGTAAAAAATCAAAAAGAAAAAAATTGTATAGGTCCTCTGGACGGGTTCTTCTCTAATGAAACGTTTCGTCTCTCTTCCAAGAGACTTCTTCAGTCTGAGAGTTTCAGGCAAAATTCAGGCTTTTAAGCCCTGCCTCCATGTGACTGATACTCACATCACATGGCTATCGTTGACACCTAATTAACACCTATTGTTAACAGGGGGTGGAGAGATACTGGCTATAGCAGCGCTGTAGGAGGGGGACAACTGAAAACGGAGGCCTCCACCTCTGTTTAATGATGGACGGTCTTTCTTGACAAAAATGGCTTCTTTTACTCCTCTCTCAAACCAACGTTCCTCTCTATCAAGAATGAGAACATCGTCTCATGAGGATGAGATGAAGAGCAAATCTTTCCCATTAAATTGGTCTAAATTGGTCATGTGACTAGGACGTAAGGGTGTCCAGAGACTCCAGGGGGTTAATCATCAAATTAATCGTTATCGGCTAAACACCACGATTGATCGTGATTAAAGGTTTTTTTGCCAATATTGCCCAACCCTACCTGCAATATTCTATAGATTATTATTATAAGCAGCAGACAGAAACAGCCTCAGCTGAAGTGGTCAACATGCATTCCTTCATTTCTTTTATCAGCTCTGATAGCTGCTGAACACTTCTGACGGGGTGTTGTGGAAGGACCGAGCTAAATATAGATTCTGTGATGTATAGTCGCCGCGCTCGGCACGCCGTCACCTCGTCGCTACTTCCGACTGTCTCTGCGGCGCAGGAAAACGCTCCGCGGCGTTGGCACGCCTTTGATCTCGTCCCGGCTTCCTGTCTCCCCCACCCCCCACCCTGCCGCCTGACGGCGTGCACGCTCATTCAACAAGCTGTACCTGTCTGAGGTACAGCGTTTGTTGCACCAATACTGACGTTGAACGTAATGAATTCAAATTGCTCCGGTGACGACGAACGCCGCGGCTGAAAATAGTGCGAAAGATAATCAAAGGCCTGGGCGAGGTGGAGAGTGTCTCTGATGGGCTTTTCAAGGTGTGTGTGTGTGTGTGTGTGTCTGTGTGTGTGTGTGTGTGTTTGTGCCTGATTTTGACAGGCCTGTCAGGAGTGTGTGTTTTGAGGAGGAAGAAAGGACATCGTTCCTTGTAGGAAGTCCACTGGAATGCAGAGACGGCTCTGATGCTCTCCCTCTTTCCTGACTTCTCTTCCTCCTCCTCGTTATGTTGCCATAGCGGCGAGGGGGCCATGAAACATTACGGCTGACAGTAAAGTCATCTCATTTTACTGTTGCTATGACAACAAACTCCTCACTGTTGGTCGGGGCCATTGCGAGCTGCCGCCCATGCCTTGTGCCTGAGACTGTTTGCGTGTGTGTGGATGTGTGTTTTGCATGTGTGTGTGTGTGTGTGTGTGTGTGTGCCACCAACTCTCCCAGGGGCTCTCATAAAGCTTAACACACTCGCTCAGCTCTAAACAAACTTCCATGAAACTTCTCCAATGGCCCCTCAGGACCAACTGCTAAAGGACAAATGCAGATATCGCTCAAGTTCAGACTAAATAATGCTTGTTCTGTTTCTGTGTGTGTGTGTGTGTGTGTGTGTGTGTGTGTGTGTGTGTGTGTGTG